CCATCTTGGTATAGGGGAGCGTTTTGCTGTTGGAAGTGGTTGATGTAAAGGGACTGGGGTCGTAAGTGGTGTAATGTGCAGTTCTCATCCCACACTCCCACACTGCCCAAATAGAAATTGTGAGCCACTCAAGGTCAGGACCTATGTCTAGCTTGGAAGCAGACCAGTTAATGGATTTCTTTCTTTCTTTTTTTTGCCAAAATCAGGCAGGTATGGGAACTGGGATTAAAGCAGCCATTTCGCTACAGGGTCTGAGATGGGAGTCATCTCTCTGTCAACAAGAAAGATAGAAGGAAGATTAGGGGAAAGGCTTCTATCCAGCATCAAAAATGGATTGAAAATGTGTTGAAAGACAGATACCCACCAAGCCTGGTAAAATCTTTGAGATTTGACACCTACATGATAGAATTCTAAATGCCCTGCCCACCTGGTGGCTCAGTGACCATTGACTCCCTTTGGGATCACAGTGTGTGTGTGTATGTATGTTTTGGTGTATGCAGAAAATCTCTACCCCTACTACTCTGCAAATGCCAGACAACCAAATCTGTGTGCTGTCCTCATAAACACCCATAAATGAACTTCTGGAGTCCCCTCCCACACTGCCTCTGTGGTTGCCACCCTGAGAAGGGATGGTGGAGTGGGCAGAACTTGTTGGTGATGGACATGTTGCTGGAGGGAGCCTCCTATCCCACCACCATTCTTGGGTTCCCCTGAGATAATGTTCACAGGAACAATGGCAAAATGTCCTCAGACCCCTTTTAAAGTTTTTGTCTAATAATTTTCAGCACATTGGTTCCTTGCTACATTGATGAGTTGTTTATTACCTTTCTACAAATTGATTTTGGTCATATCAGCCTAGAACACTTTGAGCCTTCCATATGCTTCTGGTAATGTTGCACGCGCTTGTGGCCTGACTGAGCTCACCTGCTGGGCTCAATGGCTGAGCATATCCAGACTGGCCCAGATGTGCCTGTCCACTTACAGTTTCTGACTGTCCGTAGATTTCATGGAGCGAAATGCCTGTCTGTTTTCTCCACTTCTCTAGCTCTTCAGGCAGCAAAGCCTCTCCGCCAGTACAGCAGTGCTCCAGGGTTGGGAACCTGAGACTTAGGGGAAAGCAAGGAGTCACTGTATTTCCGGTAAGGCCTTGGGAGTTCTGCCCCAGGCCCAATTGCATCAAGAGCAAACAGAGTTTTGTCATCTTGATTATTCATCCTCTTCTTCCTCACTTTTTTTTTTTTTTAAATTGTGATTTGGGTGAAAGTTTACAGAGCAAATTCACTTTCCATACAGCAGTTCACACACACATTGTCTCATGACAATTTACCCCAATGCAACAGCTCCCCTCCCACTTCCTCCTTTTTTCCTCACTTTCTTACTCATCTCTGTCAGTGTCGAGTGGGTGAGGGATAGACTGTCAAGACATGTTAGAATGATAACAGAACTATACTACCATCTCTGGTAGTATAGTGGCTAAAGCACTTGACTGCTAACCAGAAGGCTGGCGGTTCAAACCCACCAGCCACTCCTCGGAAGGAAGGTTGGGCAATCCTACTTCCGTAGTGATACTGCCTCGGAAACCCAAGGAGGGGTCGCTATGAGTCGGAGCCAACTCGATGGCACATAACAACAACAACAACATGGAAGATACGTATGATGGTTAGTCTCATGGCCACTTGGCTAGGTTATCACTCACAGCTCACGGCCATGGAATCAATTCTGACTCATGGTGACCCCATGTTTTATGGTATAAAATTGATCCATAGGGTTTTCTTGCCTGTAATCTTTACAGAAAGCAGATCACCAGTCCTTTCTTCTGTGGTGCTGCTGGTTGGGTTCAAAGTGCCAGTCTTTAGGTTAGACTTGAGGCTAGGCTATAGTATTTTGTCAGTGTGGTTAACATTAGCAATCACTTGACTTTAAGTAGACTGACTTTGATAATGTGGATGGGCCACATGTAAGTATTTGAAGTCATTAAGAGAAAAAACTGAGGGATTCTCAGAGAAGAACTTCTTCCTCAAGACTGCAGTGCAAACTCTTGCCCACTCCGATGGCTTGCCCTACAGGTTATGGACTCAAGAACACAATGTCAGCATCAACTCTTGCAGAATTTCCAGCTTGCTGGTCTGCCCTACAGGTATCAGACTTGTCATTCCCATCATAGCAATAGCTAATCCTTAAATAAATCTTTTTATAGTAACATGCTGATTGTTCCTGGTTGTGTTTTTCTGGAGAAGCTTGGCTGATACAGTGGTATGTTAACTGAAGGGATTTTGTATTCCTGAGTGGGATGTGAGAGTTAGGGCTTGGACATGAATTGCTCAAGATGTAAGGGAGGACTGGACTGAGTGGAAGAAATGGTGGAGAAGGGTCACTGGTAGGAGCATTGAGAGGAAGAAAAGGAGTGTTGGAAATGAGCATTTGCAGTAGTGCGCTAGGTCATCATGTTATGTAAGCCTTTTCCTCATTTTTTCCCAAGAATCTTCCATACAGTATACAAAAACAATCACAAAATAATAATTGGATTCTCTGAAGAAAATGAGGAAATCATTGAGTAGCAGCTAGTATGGGGCTGAGGCAGGCCAGATCTTGAGGAAAGGAAGATAGCAGGCATCTGGATCACCTTTTCACCTTTCTCACTTCCATGTGGTACATACAGAGTCAAGAGTGAGGAACAGGAGGGCTAGTTTAATCTATGGTGTGTGGAGTAAAGAAGTTAACTTTACCCAAAGAATTTGGTCTTTGTCCTTGCTTCCTGAGAGATAACCTTCAAAATCTTATATTTTCCCAATATGAACCTTTGATGAGGGAAGTGTTTTTGATGACCTTACTGAAAGGTTAATTACACCTGTTGGGCTGGGGCTGACTATGCCAGGAAGACCCACCTCGTGGAGTGATATAAACCTCAAGATATGGATTAACCTCAGAGAAGCGAGGCTTGAGTTTGGATTACATAACGAGACCCCTAATGAAAGCTGTAGATATTGAAGTTCCCTTGCCCTCCTGGTTGGTGATAGACATCAATGTGCATGGGAGGTTAGCACATCCCTATTTAGGACACAGAGGCTCTGTGTTGGAAATCCTCCCAGACCTCTATGCATCTATTCATTTGTATCCTTTTTGCTATAATAAAACTGTAATCATAAGTATAGCACTTGCCTTGAGTTCTATAAGTTGTTCTAGCAAATTATTGAACCCAAGGGTGTAGTGAAAGCCAGCAAGTCAGAATTGGAGTGGGGGCTTGGGACCCCTGAGCTTATGGCTGATGTGTTTAGGGTGCAGAAGGAACCCTGGGATATATAGCAGGTCAGAGGTGATGGTTTTGTGGGGACTTCAAGCTGTGACTGCTTTCTGAGGTTGTGGGCAGACATGGAAGTCTGGAGGATTGTGTCTTTTAACTTGTGAGCTCTGACTTCATTCCACATGGTTAAGGTCAGAGGAAAGAAGTGCTTCACGTGCAACTATGCCAAAACAGAAGTGGAGCAGAGAAGAACACAATAGAGTTGGAACTGAATTGATCTCATTCAGTTTGTGTGATAAATGGAATTGATTTGATATTTATATAAGATGTCGTCCTCCTTATTCTAGCTTTACTTAAGTGGATAAATTGGTCAGCATCTTGGGTAATCATTAGTCACGCACATGTCCTGATTGAATTTTGTTGTGTTTGGACAAATGCCAAAAAGCAGCTGTAATATTAACTTTGAAATACACATGGAAACAGAAATCAGCCAGACTGAGGTTCCATGAATGCAAGCAAGTTTCATAAAAGTCATCATTAGACTTGATATTTTAAGGCTCACATCCTAAATAACATTAGCTTTGATTTTTGAAGTTCAATTTCAGCCATTACAATTTCAGAATCTCTAAAAGATATATAAATGTCCATGAGAATCAAAGAGCAGTTTTCAATTTGGCTACGAATGAACATTCAAACACAGGGAAATCCCAAAATCAAGCGATAATAAAATCACACTACATACCTTCCAGATTATAGATCATTAAAAATTAAAAACTGACATTAGCAAATGTTGGCAAGGATGTAATATACTAGGAATTTTCCTAACCTGCTAATGGGAGCATAAATCAAATATAAATGTAATACTTTGGAGAATATGTGATAGCATGTAGTGTTGATATGACCTCACAATTCCTCTATTAGAAAACCACTAGGGAAACACCTGCTTATTTGTACCAGGTTATATGTACAAGAGTTCAACACAGGGGAAGGAGACAAGATAAATTTTGGTGTGACAAAAACAGTCCTTAAACAAAAAAGACCTAAGAAACCAAGTGAAACAGACAAAGATGGTAATACTGGAACTCTGAGCATCAAATGAAAGGATGAAGAATTAAATTGAACACTGAGTGGAAAAAGAAAACAGCAATCAAGGAGAGAGATGGAGCAGGGTCCTAAAACATCGTGGCTATTTTGAGACACAGAAGGTTACTACATACACAGGTGAGGAGAAGCCAGCTTCATGGAATCCCCAATGAGACAGAGGTACAGTGTAAACAAATACAGAATGAAGCAAGATGAGAACATGAGCTAGAGCTGAGAAAAGAAGGTGCGGGGAAGTGGGCAAGAACTCCAGTGAGTTCACAGGTGACCACAGAGCAGGGAGGGAGCCTGTAAGTAAGGATAAAACCTCATCATTAGTGGTCCCTAATCATTTGGTTTGGGGAACCACATGGAAGGGAAGGCCTGTGAGGTGATGACTGGAGACTCTGGACTCTGGGGAGTGCCTGTCACCTTGATTGAGCTGGAGCGGGAATCAGATAATTGAGTGCGCTCACCCAAGAGTGCAGCTAGCCTACACCAGTGAACAGTGACTGAAAAAGTGCCCTCTTCCGCCTTCCCCCCAACGTCTTCCCAGTGACCAGAGGTGAGGCCCTTCCACTGCCAACAACAGAGTGGCTAGTGACACCTTCCTGACACTCCTTATCCACCCAGTTCACTTGGACTACCTCTCCCCATTCCTTTGCCCTGAACTGCACCCCCAGTAGACTATGCTGAGAACCTATGAAATATGCACCATACACCTGGTGCCTGTGTGGTTGACAAGGCATGCTCTCACAGACTGTGTGTCACCCACTTGCAGCCTGTGATGTTGAGTGCACACACACACACACACACGCACACACACACAGACCATGAGCCGAGCACCAGCCACCACCATTGTCAAGGATGCACGTGTACGGACTGCATGCAAGGACCTCACTGCCTATTTGGTCAGAGGTGCTGATATGGGTGAACTGCACACCAGGCTTCTGCAACGTCCATGGTTGGGAGCATGCGCACAAGTGGATCTTGCTCTGGGCAATGCTGCCGTCATGGTTGGGGACATGTGTGCACACAGACCACATGCTGGGCTTCTTCAGCCTTTGTGGGTGGGAACATGGGCTTCAATGGAATGCATGCAATGTGTCTGCCACTACTGTTTCTTTGGTGATCAAAGCACATGCTCATGTCAGTCACACATCACCATTGTGGCATCCTCACGGATAGTGTGCTTTGTGCTTATTGTCATAGAGGTACATGCAAATGTTGCTGTACCACTCTTTTTTTTTTTTTCCTTTCTTTCTGTTTTTCCACTTCTTTCTTATTATTTATTTATTCCCTTTTCATTTCCTCTTACTTTTATTCATTTTTTTCTTTCTCATTCCTTTTGTTCCATCTGGCAGGAGGTGGACAATGTTTCCCCACTAGCCAGCCACATCTCCCACATCTGCCACCTATCACCCCACCAAATGGTGCCTAGCTACCATTGCTGACAAGTCTGAAAGTGTTCACAATAGGAGGTCCTGTATAGAGTGGTAGAAATATGTGGAACAAAACTCATTATTATACACAAGACCAGGCTTACTGGTGGAAACCCTGAGAATATGGCCCTTAGTCCACCTTAAAGCCTGAAACTGAACTTGTCCCCATGGCTCAACTTTCAGCCAAACAATAGACAGGCATATAAAGTGAACAGTAACACCAGAGAGGTATGCACCTAGAACAATTAACTGTAGAAGATCCAAAGAGCAGCATTTGTCCAAGGATAAAGCTAAGAAGGCAGGAAGGGATAGGAAAGAAAAACAAACAGAAATGGGAAACACAGGGAGGAAATGGGAAGAGTGCTGTTACATTATGGAATCACAATCAATGTCACCAAACAAAATACGTATGAATTTTTGAATGGAAAACCAACTTGTTCTGTAACCTTTCACTGAACTCACACTAAAAAGTTAAAAGAAAAAAACATGAATCAAATGCAACATTATGCATCAATAGACCAAAGTGGAAACTACCAAAATGTCAATGGTAGAATTGATTTTAAAAATAGTGTTTGTTGTTGTTGGTGTTGTTGTTATGTGCTCTTGAGTCGGACCTGACTCATAGCGACCCCTCCTTGAGTTTCTGAGGCAGTATCACTATGGAACTAGATTGCCCTATCTTCCTTCCAAGGAGTGGCTGGTGGGTTTGAACCACCAGCATTATGGTTAGCAGTCAGGTGCCTTAGGCACTATGCTACCAGAGCTCCCAAAAATAATGGTAGTTTTATAAAATGGAGTATTATGCAGCAATGAAAAATAAACTAACTACAGCCATATTTAACAACATTGATACATGTTAGAAACATTGAACAAAAGAAGTCATATGTAACAGAATATTGTATGACACATATATAAATTTCAAAGCAGGTACATATGAATTATGTGTTTAGGAATTTCATTAAGAAGTAAATTATAAATGAAAAGAAGGAAGTGAACCCTGTAAAAATAAATACTGTGGTTTCCTTTAGGGGAGAGACATATGGAGGTCTCTGGTGTACTGGCAGTATTTAATTTTTGTCACTTGGGTAGGTGGTTACTCAGGTGTTTTTCAACAATTCATTAATCTGTACATTTATCTTTTATGCATTTTTCTCTATGTCTGTGATTTCACAATAAAATACTTTTAGAAGAATAAACACCACAATGATTCAAGGCTCACTAAGTGCTTCTCTGGGTTTTCTGGGTCCTGCTTTAATGAACTAATTAAACTGGCTGATAATTGTCACTGCTGCCACTTAACACACACACATACACACATAAAGGCACACATGGACAAATTACCCTCAAAGAATCAGAGGAGAAAACAGTCAGATCATAATGCCTCAGATTACTTAAAATCTTCCCCAGAGATTGCTATTACCAGCCACTTCGACCATACCTGGTGAAATTCTGCTGCAAAATCATCCGATAAATGGATGGTGCACCAAGGCATTGGGTGATTGGGTATTTGAAGAGCGTCTGAAAAATGAGAAGAGCAGGAATTGAATTTTTGCAATTAAGATCAAAACTCTCAGCCAATTATTAGCATTTCAGTTCTCACCTCCCCTCTAGGAAAGCTCATTTATTTATTTATAGATTTTTTTCAATGTGTATATTAAGCATGAATTTTGTACACGGTATTGGGTCAGGTACTGCTGGGGAAAGCAAGAAGTGTAAGATAAATCACCAATTCTTAGGGAGAGTAGGTCCTAATAGAGGAGATTAGATAGGACTCAAATGATCAAGCAGAATTTGGTAGGTATCATGAGAGAGATTTGAAAACTGTTCTATGAAGAAATAAAAATAATTGTTGTTGAGTCAACTCCAACTCATGATGACCCCATGTGTGTCTGAGTAGAACTGTGCTCACTAGGGTTTTTTGTTTGTTTTTGCAAAAATATAGATAACGCAACATTTGCAATTCAACATTTTCACTTGCACTATTCGGTGGCACCAGTGACATCAATTGTGTTGTGCAACCATCACCAATATGTGTCAGTGATGATTTTAATTGCTGACTTTTTGGAAGGAGATCACCAGGCCTTTCTTCTGGGCACCTCTGGGTGGACTCAGTCTTTCAGTTAGTAGCTGAGTAGATGAACTATTTTCACCACTCAAGGACTTTAAAAGGATAGTAAATGGATTGATGGATGAGGGGCATTCACAAATGGAGAGATGTCTGCAGGCAGAGAAGCAGGGGAAGACCTTAAAGACAGATGAAACAGCAGGAACAATGCCTCAAGAGCTGAAGAAACAAATACTTAACTACAGACATGATTTGGAGATATTGTGGATTTGGTTCCAGACCTCCATGATAAAGTGAATATTGGAATAAAGTAAGTCACACAATTTTTTTTGTTTTCTAGTGCATATAAAAGGACCTGTGGTGGCGTAGTGCCTAAGGCATTTGACTGCTAACCAGACAGTTGGTGGTTCAAACCCACCAGCTGTTCCACGGAAGGAGGATGGGGCAATTTAGTAAAGATTTACTGCCTCGGAAACCCAGCAGAAGTCGCTATGAGTTGGAATCGACTTGATGGCAGTGAGTTTTGTTTTTTTGTTTTTGTTCTGAGTGCATATAAAAGTTATGTTTACACTATATTATAGTTTATTAAGTGTGCAATAGCATCATGAAAAAGTTTGAAATATTAAAATTACCAACATGTGACAAAGAGACATGAAGTGAGCACATGCTGTTTGAAAATGGTGTTGATAGACTTGCTCTGTGGAAGATTGCCACAAAATTTCAATGTGTCAAAAACACAGTATCC